TAAAGTGAAGTACTATGGATTTGAATCTGCTTTGTTTCCCATATGGAGAGGAACCACGCAGGGCTGTCTCCTCTCCCCATTTTTGTTCGTTTTGGCCATGGAGCCAAAATTTTACAATATTTTCCAATATTGTGGTTTGGCAGAATTGTTGCTGTGCAGATGGTTTACCACCTTAAATTAGGTGGGTCAATGTCATTCACATTAAGGCTAGATTCACACTTGGTAGCAGGTGCAGGAATCACACCTGTTCCTACACCCGCAACCACCTCAGCCAAAACATGCTGCTCTTAACAGACGTGCTGGGCTGCCATTCATTCTCAATGGCACCCCCACGCATCTAAAAATGTTGCATGTTAGCAAATACGGGAACGTGTGGGAAATCGCATGGTGCAAAAGCACCATGCTATTTTCCTGAGACTGCATTTTAAAAAATTTGTAGGAAATTTTTCCCTGCATTAAAACGCAGGCAAATAAGTGGACTGCCGTACCCGTGCAATCGTGGCTCATAGCTAAAAGGGTGTGAACCAAGCTTTAGAGTCTATTCTAGTAAGGTCTGAAAGACCAACATAACCATGATAGCAGGTTGAATGGCAGGGCCTGCAAGAGACATGAAGGATTTGGAAAGAGTTTAGAAAAGCTTGCCAGTTGTATCCTTAAACACTTATATGCCCTTTACAAGTACAGTCAGTGTGTTATTAAGGCAAGAAATCATCGGATTTGTAATTGGTAGAGGCTACTTATTAATTAAATCCCTCTTAAATTTTGACATCAAGCACTATAGCATTACAGGTCCTCTAAAGACTCACTCTCATTTTTATTGCAGAATAAAACTTTCTTTTCTTCCTGCTTGAAACATAGAGGCTGATTTACTAAAGGCAAATAGACTTTTCACTTTGCAAAGTGCAGTTGCACTCTGCAAGAGCAGTTGCTCCAGCGCATAATAAATGAGCAGAAGCTCTGCTGAGTTCCATCATCCAATCATGTGCAAGCAAAATTGCTGTTTTTATTTTATTTTCCTTGTACATGATTGGATATTTTTTGCAAAGTGAAGCTTTATCTCATTTACTAATCTCTGAAGCAACTGCATTTGCAGATTGCAACTGCATTTTGCAAACTGCACACTGTATTTAGTAATTAACCCCATAGTCTGCTCAGACACTGTCTTGCTGCTGTAAATTGTTATACCTGCTGTGTCCAAGATGCCAAACTAATCTTTATTGCTGAAAAACATCTGTCTAGTCTCTCCCAACTTTGGCCTTTTGTATCTGGTGTCCTGTCAGTGGAAAATTTTAATGATAGCTATGGGTTATGAGGGCACGCATATTTTTGAAAGAAATGAGGATATGATGTGGTGGTGGTGTGAAGTGCCTTTTTACATTCTTTTTATTTTACCTACAATCATGCTGTTCCATAAAACCATGTACAGCTTTAAGAAAACCCCTATACTTCTAATTTAAAGGGCTTGTGTATTTTAAATTTAATGTTCAAGCTGCATGGAAAAAACCCTTCTCCCTGTTGTAGAATTTAAAAAAATGAATGTTTCCATAATCTCTATGACTTCCCAGGCCTTTTGTTTGACAAAAGATTGTATACTAGCCCTACAAATGGTGAAAATTGTGATTCGTCACCCATATACAGTTGTGTTCAAAATAATAGCAGTCAGACATCACTAACCTGATCAATCACTGTTTTTGGTAGAAATTATATTTCTACATGGCAAATAATTTACTAGCAGGTGTAGTAGAGTAATAGAAATCCAACAGACCCAACAGTCATGACATGCATGCTGCTGATTCTGTGTAATTGAATCACTCAATTAGATAGTGATTTCAATTAAAGGGGCATGTTAAAAATAATAGTGTGGAGTTCTATTAGTGAGGTCAATCATTCTTCGAAAAACAGGTGGCAATTATTGCCCTTATTTAACCACTTGCCTACCGGGCACTTATACCCCCTTCCTGCCCAGGCCAATTTCCAGCTTTCAGCCCTGTCACACTTTGAATGAAATTTTTAACATTTTTTTGAGACAGATAGAGCTTTCTTTTGGTGGTATTCAATCACCTCTGGGATTTTTATTTTTTCTTAAACAAACCAAAAACCACTGAAAATTTTGAAAAAAAAAAAACATTTTTTCTTAGTTTTTGTTATACAATTTTGTAAATACAGTGGGGCAAAAAAGTATTTAGTCAGTCACCAATTGTGCAAGTTCTCCCACTTAAAAAGATGAGAGAGGCCTGTAATTGGCATCATAGGTAGACCTCAACTATGAGAGACAAAATGAGAAAATAAATCCAGACAATCACATTGGCTGATTTGGAAATAATTTATTTGCAAATTATGGTGGAAAATAAGTATTTGGTCACCTACAAACAAGCAAGATTTCTGGCTCTCACAGACCTGTACCTTCTTCTTTAAGAGGCTCCTCTGTCCTGCACTCATTACCTGTATCAATGGCACCTGTTTGAACTTGTTATCAGTATAAAAGACACCTGTTCACAACCTCATACAGTCACACTCCAAACTCCACTACGGTGAAGACCAAAGAGCTGTTGAAGGACACCAGAAAACGCGTCGGAACGCCATTCCCAGTACGAGATTACGTCACTTATTCCGGTCACGTGGGGACGTTTTGTCCGGACGTAGCGGCCATATTGGTTTCCCTCCCTGTATGAGAATACACCCATGATGTGAGGTGGAAAAGCGTTGTATTCAAAGATTACATGTGAGTGGGAAAGTTTGTTATGCCATATTACTTCTAATAAACGGTGTTACACTATGGGAAGCTTTTGTTTGTGTCCTATATGACGTGGTGAGAGGAGGTGGAGTGGAAGTCCTGAGGTTCCTGGCTGAGTTGTCTGGAGGAAAGGATTGCCTTTAAGGAGAGTCTTTTGCCTTTTGGCCCTGTGTGGGTCGAGGAGGGGAGGTGAGCAGGCATTGCTGCCGTTGGAGGATTCCTTTCTTGAGCACTAGAAGTGAAGATCACAGAGTGTTTCACATTTTTGCATGGACTATTTGAGTTTATTCTGAAACACTGAGTCTATTTATATATTTTTTTCACTGATTTAAGAAGCGATTTATTTTATTCTATTTTTATTTTATTTTGTTATAGGGTTTATCAAAAGCCATATGTATTATATAATTTATTGCAGAATCACTATATTTTTTTTGATTTTTTAGGTTTGTCACAATTATCACGATTTGTCACATTTTTCATGAATTAGTATTATTATGATAATCGTTTCCATCACTGTTATTTGAGTATTTATCATGGATTTTATATTTGTTATTTTTTATCACAGATCTATTAAGAGGTAATAATATATTGGTATTTATGAGAGGTGTTTCTGAATTTTTGCCACTAATTGATTTAGTTTATAATGTTTTTTTATCACCTTTAATATCAATTATTTTTAAGTTCAGTGGGTATTTATGGTATGCACAGAGGGTATATAATTTTTTTAGATAATTTGGGGAGCGCTTCACTATTTAATGCACGGTATTTATTACTTATTGGTTGAGGTTGAGTGATTGCAGCTAGTAGATAGGGACTTACCCATACTAAGCGCAGGAGGATATCCCCCCTTATTACCTGTTTGAACTTGTTATCAGTATAAAAGACACCTGTCCACAACCTCATACAGTCACACTCCAAACTCCACTACGGTGAAGACCAAAGAGCTGTTGAAGGACACCAGAAACAAAATTGTAGACCTGCACCAGGCTGGGAAGACTGAATCTGCAATAGGCAAGCAGCTTGGTGTGAACAAATCAACTGTGGGAGCAATAATTAGAAAAGTGGGAAGACATACAAGACCACTGATAATCTCCCTCGATCTGGGGCTCCACGCAAGATCTCACCCCGTGGGGTCAAAATGATCACAAGAACAGAACAAAAAAAAATCCCAGGACCACACAGGGGACCTAGTGAATGACCTGCAGAGAGCTGGGACCAACGTAACAAAGGCTACCATCAGTAACACACTACACCGCCAGGGACTCAGATCCTGCAGTGCCAGACATGTCCCCCTGCTTAAGCAGGTACATGTCCGGGCCCATCTGAAGTTTGCTAGAGAGCATTTGAATGATCCAGAAGAGGATTGGGAGAAAGTCATATGGTCAGATGAAACCAAAATAGAACTGTTTGGTAGAAACACAACTTGTCGTGTTTGGAGAGAGAGAATGCTGAGTTGCATCCAAAGAACACCATACCTACTGTGAAGCATGGGGGGTGGCAACATCATGCTTTGGGGCTGTTTCTCCGCAAAGAGACCAGGATGACTGATCCATGTACAGGACAGAATGAATGGGGCCATGTATCGTGAGATTGTGAGTGCAAACCTCCTTCCATCAGCAAGGGCATTGGAGATGAAACGTGGCTTGGTCTTCCAACATGACAATGATCCCAACATACCCCCCCAGGCTATGAAGGAGTGGCTTCATAAGAAGCATTTCAAGGTCCTGGAGTGGCCTAGCCAGTCTCCAGATCTCAACCCCCATAGAAAACCTTTGGAGGGAGTTGAAAGTCCGTGTTGCCCAGTGACAGCCCCAAAACATCACTGCTCTAGAGGAGATCTGCATGGAGGAATGGGCCAACGTACCAGCAACAGTGTGTGCCAACCTTGTGAAGACTTACAGGAAACGTTTGACCTCTGTCATTGCCAACAAAGGATATATAACAAAGTATTGAGATGAACTTTTGATATTGACCAAATACTTATTTTCCACCATAATTTGCAAATAAATTCTTTCCAAATCAGCCCATGTGATTGTCTGGATTTTTTTTCTCATTTTGTCTCTCATAGTTGAGGTCTACCTATGATGCCAATTACAGGCCTCTCTCATCTTTTTAAGTTGAAGAACTTGCGCAATTGGTGGCTGACTAAATACTTTTTTGCCCCACTGTAAGTGATTTTTCTCCTTCACTGATGTGCGCTAATGAGGCTGCAGTGATGGGCACTGATAGGCTGCACTGATGGACAGTGATAGGTGGCACTGATGGACACTGATGAGGAGGCACACTGGTAGGTTGCACTGATGGGCATTGACAGGCATCACTAATGGGCACTGAAAGGCAGCACTGATACATGACACTGATATATGGCACTGACAGGCGGCACTGTTAGGCAGCACTGACTGGCACTGATAGGCGGCACTGACTGGCACTGATGCACACTGATAGGCGACACTGACTGGCACTGATAGGTGTCACTGATTGGCAGCACTGATAGGTGGCACTGATAGGTGACATTGAAAGGCAGCTTAGATTAGCACTAATATGTGGCATTGATGCGCACTGGTATGCACTGATATGTGGCATTGATGTGGCACTGATGGGCACTGGCACGTGGCTCTGATGGGCACTGGCACGTGGCACTGATAGGTGGCCCTTCTGAGCATCAGGGCACACTGATCAGTGTACATGTCCCCTCCGCGGAAAGCCGATTACCGGCTCTCCTCTCGAGCTGTCAGAAATGCCGATAACCGCATTTCCGTGTTTACATGTGATCAGCTGTGATCAGACACAGCTGATCACATGACCGAGCCGACATCTTCGGCTCTTTCCGTGATCCGCTGTGTCCAAGGGACACCGCACACCGGCGATCGCCGCACTGCGCGCTCCCTGAGCCGCACATGCGCAGTGAGAATGGTAGGACCGTCATATGACGTCCTATCAGAACGAAAGAACCACCTTGCGCCCGTTACTGTTCTATAGGGGGGGCGGAAGGTGGTTAAGGAAGGAAGGCAGCAAATGTTGTACATGCTGGTTACAGTGCATTTCTCTCTGAAATTCTGAGGAAAATGGGTCGTCCCAGACATTGTTCAGAAGAACAGCGTACCTTGATTAAAAAGTTGATTGGAGAGGGGAAAACATATAAAGAAGTGCAGAAAATGATAGGCTGCTCAGCTAAAATGATCGCAAATGCTTTAAAATGGCAACCAAAACCTGAAAGACGTGGAAGAAAGAAAACTACCATTCGAATGGATAGAAGAATAGCCAAAGTGGCAAGGACTCAGCCAACAATCAGCTCCAGGAAGATCAAAGAAGGTCTAAAGTTACCTGTGAGTACTGTTACAATTAGAAGACGCATATGTGAAGCCAGGCTATCTGCAAGAAGCCCCCGCAAAGTCCCACTGTTGAAAAAAAGACATGTGCTGAAGAGGTTACAATTTGCCAAAGAGCACATTGACTGGCCTAAAGAGAAATGGCGCAACGTTTTGTGGACTGATGAAAGTAAGATTGTTCTTTTTGGGTCTAGTGGCCGGAGACAGTTTGTCAGACGACCCCCAAACACTGAATTCAAGCCACAGTACACTGTGAAGACAATGAAGCATGGTTGCGCAAGCATCACGATATGGGGATGTTTCTCATACTACGGTGTTGGGCCTATTTATCGCATACCAGGGATCATGGATCAGTTTGAATCCATCAGAATACTTGAAGAGGTCATGCTGCCTTATGCTGAAGAGGAAATGTCCTTGAAATGGGTGTTCCTACAAGGCAGTAAACGTGCAACATCTTGTTTCCAGACCGACAAGATTGATGTTATGGAGTCGCCAGCCCAATCCCCGGATCTTAATCTAATAGAAAACTTGTGGGGTGACATCAAAAATACAGTTTCTGAGGCAAAATCAAGAAATAAAGAAGAACTGTGGAATGTAGTCCAATCATCCTGGGCTGGAATACCTGTTCACAGGTGCCAGAAGTTGGTTGACTCCATGCAACACAGATGTACAGATGTTCTCAGAAACAGTGCTTATACAACTAAATATTAAGTGATTCAAAGGAAAGCAAAATCTTCAAACATTTTTCAGTTTATATAGTGAATGTTTGAGTTTGTAAAGAAGAATACAAACACTGCTATTTTTTTTGAACAGTCTAATATTCACTTTTCTTCAATTTTTTTTTAGAGGGACAACACAAATTTGATATATTTTTCTTCATGTTTTGATTTGGAATAGAATGTGTAGTGTTCCCAATGCATTTGTGTGTATATGGAAATAAAAGCTATTATAAGGATTTTGAGCTTTATTCACTTTTTTCAACACACTGCTATTATTTTGAACACAACTGTATATCAGTAGGTAGAGTTTGAGCATGACTCACAAAATAGCCCATGAAATTTACCCAGACCAGTTAAATCATCCCTATGCACAGTCCATCGACCAATAAACTTGCAAGATATGGCTATAAGTCAGGCCTCACTAGGGACTGGAGTGAATAAGGTTAGACAGTTATTTCTGTAACTAATCATCTATTGCTAGGATAAATAAATGTTACTTTTCATTTTATTTTTAATTGTGCGTGAGTGTATTATTATTCACGGGTACTATATCAGAAAGATAACGAATCTGTATAAATTTTTTAAATACCGATATGTTATATTGAGGCATTGTTAAGCTATTTATAAACCTCATTACAATAAAAAGACCTAGATGGCATAGGAAAAGTTTTTCCATGTTTAATGCAGGCTAATCCTATCAAAGAAACAAACAAAACCACCATTATAAAACAAGTAAATAAATCAAATGAAAATAAAACCTTCAACTTACATTGCATTTCTTGTCTCACCACACTTACCGATAACGAGGCTGCTCAGAAGTTTCAGATGGAGAACGTTCTGGAATTGAAAGTGACGTTGAAGATAATGTTGTAGTAATGGAGACAGTGGTAGCTTCTTCAAATGATGGAGTTGTGCATGGCAAAATATCTGATCGACCTATAAGAACAGAAATAGGCAAACAGCAGAAATGCAAATAAAAAAAATAAAGTTAAAAAATTAACATTACAATGAAAATTTTAAATAAAATACATTTTATATTTTACCTAATCTTTTAGGCTAGGTACACATCTGCGAGTTGGTAATGCACGCAAAATCACACATGTTCCCGACCCACAGAGAAATGCTGTGCATGCAAAAATAATTCTTAATGGCACCCCCACATATCGGAAACTGCAGTGCATTTCTGCATACACTAAATTGCATGGTGCTGGCATGATTTCAAATAAAGGGACTTTTCTATCTGCATTTCTACAGTTAGGGCAGCCCACTGAAGTGAACCGCTGGCAACAAAAGTGAGTACACCCCTAAGTGAAAATGTCCAAAGTGGGCCCAATTAGCAACTTTCCCTCTCCGATGTCATGTGATTCGTTTGTGTTACAAGGTCTCAGGTGTCATTGGGGAGCAGGTGTGTTAAATTTGGTGTTATTGCTCTCACTCTCTCATACTAGTCACTGGAAGTTCAACATGGCACCTCATGGCAAATAACTCTCTAAGGATCTGAAAAAAGAATTGTTGCTCTACATAAAGATGGCCTAGGCTATAAGAAGATTGCCAAGACCCTGAAACTGAGCTGCAGCACGGTGGCCAAGACCATACAGAGGTTTAACAGGACAGGTTGCAGTCAGAACAGGCCTTGCTGTGGTCGACCAAGAAGTTGACTGCATGTACTCAAGCCTCTTCTAAAGATGATGCACAAGAAAGACCGCAAACAGTTTGCTGAAGTCAAGCAGACTAAGGCCATGGATTACTGGAACCATGTCCTGTGGTCTGATGAGACCAAGATAAACTTATTTGGTTCAGATGGTGTCAAGCGTGTTTGGGGGCAACCAGGTGAGCAGTACAAAGACAAGTGTGTCTAGCCTACAGTCAAGCATGGTGGCAGGAGTGTCATGGTCTGGGGCTGCATGAGTGCTGCCGGCACTGGGGACCTACAGTTCATTGAGGGAACCATGAATGCCAACATGTACTGTGACATACTGAAGCAGAGCATGATCCCCTCCCTTGACTGGGTGACTGGGCCGCAGGGCAGTATTCCAAAATGATAACGACCCCAAACACACCTCAAAGACGACCACTGCCTTGCTAAAGAAGCTGAGGGTAAAGGTGATGGACTGGCAAAGCAAGTCTCCAGACCTAAACCCTATTGAGCATCTGTGGGGCATCCTCAAATGGAAGGTGGAGGAGAGCAAGGTCTCTAACATCCACCAGCTCCGTGATGTCATGGAGGAGTGAAAGAGAACTCCAGGGTAAAGCTCTGGTGATCTCCATGCCCAAGAGGGTTAAGGCAGTGCTGGAAAATAATGGTGGCCACACAAAATATTGACACTTTGGGCCCAATTTGGACATTTTCACTTAGGGGTGTACTCACTTTTGTTGCTAGCAGTTTAGACATTAATGGCTGTGTGTTGTTATTTTGAGGGGACAACAAATTTGCACTGTTATACAAGCTGTACACTCACTACTTTACATTGTAGCAAAGTGTCATTTCTTCAGTGTTGTCACATGAAAAGATATAATAAAATATTTACAAACATGTGAGGGGTGTACTCACTTCTGTGAGATACTGTATGATTTGCCTTTCTTATAGATACTATATATACACACACAATTGTTTTGCCTTTCATTTCTATTTTCAACTGAATGGGTTTTATTTACAGGATGAGGGTTCATATATACTTTAAACCTCTGACCTCTCAAATGTGACCAGGTGCTACGTCAGTTTTCCCCAAACTCATGTCTCAAGTTCTTATGTTTTGGGGATCTCTAAAATAGCCATTATAAATACAACTGACGCTGATTTAAAGCACCCGTGCAAGCTGAAGGAAATCCAGAAACAAACAAGTTGGTGAAGCTTTAGTTTTTTGTTTTTTTTTTTACCAAGCAATAAGTAGAAGGTCACAGAAAATTAGGGAGGGACCAATGTCACTTACTGTACTCCAAAATAAGGATTTTACAGATCAGTTGAAATTCATATTATCTTTATCATACAGTACAGGCCATACAGTAAATCACTTCACAGACCATGGAACATCCTCAAGCAATAAATCAAAGGGTGAGCAACAAATCAGGTAAAACAGCAGCAACAGGCCCAAAAGAATAAACAAAAAGGGTTAACTGACCTAAACAAACATTCAACAGCAGAAGAACCTTGTAGCTGAAGTAAAGTGACAGCAAAGGGGCAAATAGCCACCCAGTCAACAAACATGTTTAGAAGTAAGGGTGAACAGATGAGCAGGTGATGGTTCCACACATGTAAGAAGTATGAATGCTAGATGTTGTATAGGCCCAACAACCCAACCTTAGCGGGTGAATGGACACAGGGAAGGACTCATTCCCTGAGGGCAGAAACCCTATGAAATGGCAAAAATACCACCCAGCCAGCTGGAAAAGGAGGAATGAATCCCAAGGAGGGACCTTCCTGGAAAAAGGAAAGAGAAGAGAGCTCAGGTCTGAAGAAAAAACTTCAGCATATAGCCCTAGATGCCATGACTGACTTTACTCTAAGGGGAGCAGAAATTCATGTTGTGCCTTCTGCCAGAACCTGG